TTAAACAAGCGCCACGGGCTTGGTTTAAGCGTTTGCATGACTTTTTGCTTTCTGCAGTTTTTTTATCCTCGAAAACAGATGTGTCCCTGTTTCACTACTCTATTGGTACATCACGTGTGTACTTACTTGTCTATGTCAATGACATAATAATGATGGGCAACGATCCTGCGCTCATCTCGCAATTGTTACAACGCCTATCAACGACGTTCAAAATCCGAGACCTTGGAGTACCTAGCTTTTTCCTTGGGATTGAGACGTTAAAAGATGACACGGGGTTGTTACTATCACAACAACGTTACATGAGGGACATTCTCAAGCGAGCTGGCATGACGGATTGCAAGCCATTGGCCACTCCCGCTGCTGTCACTCAGCCAGTAACTTCGTCTGATAAACCATTCGACAATCCGACGTAGTACCGTCGCCTAGTTGGGGCACTGCAGTACCTGACTATCACCCGTCCTGACTTGTCCTTATCTGTCAATCGGCTGTGTCAGTTTATGCATTCGCCAACCAGTGATCATTGGGGTCTATTGAAGCGTGTACTACGGTACATCAAAGGCACTATCTCATACGGTATGCGCCTTTCTGCATTTACTTCATCCACGATTCACGGGTTCTCTGACTCGAACTGGGCTAGTTATCCGATCGACAGGAAGAGTACTAGTGGGTACGCTGTGTTTCTCGGTGATAATCTCATCTCGTGGCTGTCTCGGAAACAGCGCACAGTAGCCCGGTCTTCAACTGAAGCTGAGTATAAAGCCCTCGCCGATGTGTCTGCGGAAGTCACCTGGATAGTTTCTCTTCTTCGTGAGCTTAGGTTACACTCGGGAGAGCCGTCTACACTCTGGTGCGATAATCTGGGTGCTACCTATCTTTGTGCCAACCCAGTGTTTCACGCCAGGACCAAGCATGTGGAGATTGACTTCCACTTCGTTCGAGACAAGGTAGCGTCGAGAGACTTGGTTGTTAATTTTGTTTCGACGAAGGATCAGCTTGCAGATATATTCACTAAACCATTGCCAGGACCGCGTTTTGCAGATCTACGTGACAAGCTCAACATTGTTGCGCACCAATCTTGAGCTTGAGGGGGTGTGTTAGTAATGTTATTATTTATGCTATTATTTGTAATATTAGTTTTGACTAGTCTTATATTAGATTAGTTATTTCAGGCTTTCCTAGTTAATAGGAATAGTTAACGCTTTGTATTTAGATTGCAGTTCTGTAATCTTAATTGTGTTGGGAATAGAAACGGTGATCCTTATCTCATCATATGAAACTAACAATTGTGATGTTGGCCAAGATTATTCATGTGAAACTACTCATTTGCTTGATTTTTTTATCTAAGAAATTTGGGATGGACTTGATTCAAAAAATGATTGATTTATTAGTAATCAAAGGTCCTAAGAGAGATAATTCTATTTTAAAAGGTCCTAAAGATAAGTTTTCTAGGCGATTTACTGCAAATTTGTATACTAGGGTCTTATCAAATGGAGAAAGATGCGATAGAGAATGACTAGTTTACTCAAAAGAGTTTGATAGAGTTTTTTTTTTGTTTTTTTTTTTGTTTTTTTTGTTTTTTTGTTTTGTTTTTTTTTTTTTTTTTGTTTTTTTTTTTTTGTTGCAAAATCTTTAAAAATGGTATTGGTAGAGGTCAATTAACAAATGAGGGTTTCAGTAATTGGGATCATATTGGTGAAAGACTTCGAGAACATGAGACATGTATGTAGCATATTAAAAATATGACAACTTGGTATGATTTGCGTCAAAGGTTTAAAAAAAATTCAAGGATTAATTAAGAAGGAGAAAGATCATTGGAAAAAAGTTTTGTTAAGGATTGTTTCTTTTGTCAAGTTTATTGGCACACGTAATTTAGCCTTTCGTGGTACTAATGAGAAATTGTATCAAAATGACAATGAAAACTTTTTAGGCTTAGTTGAGATGGTGGTTGAATTTGACCCTATTATCCAAGAACATGCAGTAGGCATATTAAAAATGAAGAAATTTACTTTCATTATCTTGGTCATAGCATTCAAAATGAACTAATATCTTTGCTTGCTTCCTCGATGAAATCTGAAATATAATATTAAAAAAAATAAAGCAATCAAAATACTTTTCTGTAATACTAGATTGTACTCCTGATATTAGCCACAATGAACAAATGTCACTAATAATAAGATATGTGGATGTCTCTACACATCAAGTTAACATTGAGGAGTCTTTTTTTTTTTTTTTAGGATTTTTGAATGTAAAATGATTCAACTAGACTAGGTCTTTTTAGTACTTAGCAAAATGAATTACGCTTTCTTGATCTTAATATTTATGATATACGTGGACACGGTTATGATAATGGGTCAATTATGAAAGGTAAATATCAAGGTGTGCAGAAAAGCCTTTTAGATGAAATTCTAGAGCTTTTTATACTCCATGTGGTTGCCATAGTCTTAATTTAGTACTATGTGATATGGCAAATGCTTGTAGTAAAGCCAAAGATTTTTTTTGGAGTTATGCAACAACGCATACATACATTTTTTGCAAAATCTACCAAGAGATGTGGTATTTTGAAAGATAATATACATGGTTTAACTCTTAAGTCATTGTCTTCCACTCGTTGGGAGAGTCGTGTTGAGAGTGTTCAAGCCATAAGATTTCAAATGGTAGAAATACTAGAGGCTTTACTCCAAGTTGCAGATGTCGATGGTGATTCCTCAGTAAGAAGTTAAGCTAAATCTTTAGCAATAAATGAGCTTGGTGATTTTGAATTTTTTGGTGGCTATAGTAATATGGTTTCATATATTGTATCGTGTTAATTTTATTAGCAAGTACTTGTAATCCAAAGACATGCTTATTGATGTTGCTATCGAAAAAATTGAGGAGTTGATTTCCTTTTTTGAGAAATATAGTGAAAGTGGTTTTATTAATGATGTCTTGGGTTTTCAAAAAAAAAAATGATGTCTTGGATTCTGCTAAGGAAATTGCCATTAAAATTGATATAGACCCCGTTTTTCCTAAGACGTGAAATCCGTATAAAAGAACAATTTGATGAAAATTCAAATGCATGATTAGAAATTTTATTACATGCAGAAGATTCATTTAGAGTTAACTATTTTCTTTTCATTGTTGATCAATCCATTGTTTTTCTTAAAAGTAGGTTTGATCAATTTCAAGAGTATGAGAAAATATTTGGTTTCTTATTTAGTTCTGACAGGTTAAGTTCTTTAGATGATATGAGTTTGAAGTCTTCTCGTAGTCGTTTTGAAAATGCTCTTAAGCATAATGGACATTCAGATATTAATGGAGATGAGTTGTATGTGGAGTTAAATAAGAATAGAGTTATATGGACATGAAAAAATAGGACCCATTGAAATTGTGAAAGATTTGAAATTGTTTGATTGCTATCTTAATGCGGTTATTGCATACCAAATTTTATTAACTATTTTTTATTTATGTTACTGTTGCATCTGCAGAAAGAACTTTTTCTACGTTGAAATTGTTGAAGTCCTACTTACGCTCTACAATGTCACAAGAACGACTTAATGGATTAGCGATGATATCTATCGAAAATGATCTTTTGGATAAAGTAGATTATGAAGAGTTGATCGATGAATTTGCGTCAAAGAATGCTATAAGGACATCTATCTCTTTTTTAAATAAAAGATCTCTAGTTTGCATTATGTTAGAATTTTATTTATAACAAACAAAGTTGTTTGAATTTTTCTTCTTTATATTGAAAAATAATATATAAATAAAAAACATATATTTTACGATATTGGTTTTAAATATTGCGCTTATAATTTTGGTAGGGGTCGTAGTGCCTCATTTATTTACAAAAACGGGGTCACAAAAATCTAAAAACTGGTCCTGGTTACAACGTAACTAGTTGGGTGGACGAAGAAAATAGAGCAACAAAACAAGCGTCACAAGGATCAACCGAAGAATTTCAACAATATTGCAAAGAAATTCTGAATTACATGACTCGCAATTGCATCATCAACTTCGTGTGAATTTGGTTGAACATATATGGATCAACAACGACAATTAATTTAAATATTTGTATTTTAATTTTTTATGCACTTTAATTTATTTGTAACCACTTTGTAGTTTAATTTTTAAGTAATTGGTTTTAATTTTTAAGCAATTAGTTGTTTAATTTTAATTTTATAATTATCATTTTAATTAAATGCATGTGTGCTTATTTTAACTAATTTTCATTACAATTATAAATTTATAATTCAAACAAATAAAAAATAATAATTAAAATATAAGATAGTAAAATGGTGGGTCAACCAAATAATGACCACGATTGATGCTGGGCCACATAAAACTGCGGGGAAAACCCCCGGCTGTTATATCATGTACCACGGTGCATGATCAATCATGCACCGCGCGTCAGACACTACAGTGTGTCTAAGCCGACACTGTCTCACATATTATTTTTATATTATCAAATGAAACTACAGTTATATCAAAATGATACTGTAGTTGTGGTGAAATGAAACTACAGTATATAACTATATATAAAATGAAACTGAATAACATTTCACATATTTGAGTGTATATTGTACAATGAAGCTGTAATTATATTGAAATGATAATGTAGTTGTGTTTTAATGAAATTATAGTACCTGTATATAAAATAAAATTAAATAACATTTTCACATATTTGAGTGTATAAATATTGAATGAAAGTGTAGTTATATTGAAATGAAACTGTAGTTGTGTTGAACTGAAACTGCAGTGTATACAAAATGAAACTGAAGAACAAAGTTATTTTTTCGCGAATATTCTGTTTCTTTTCATTAAATAAAATGACGTCGTTTTGACAGTGTCAGTTTACACACTCTAATGTCTGAGGCGCGGTGCATTATATAATTTGCCGAAAACCCCAACTCATGAGGAAGCTCTAAGTTTAACATCTCCCAGCAGAACATCTATCATGAGTTTAGATATGCTTCTGCATTATAATTTGTTACGTGTTTTTATGGTTTAATGTGAGATCTTGGGACTTGTTTAATTAATTCCATAAAGATACTTTTCATAACAAGTTCTTCTACAGAGATCTGATCACAGGTGAAGGAAGGGATACAGAGGTGCGAACATATGTGTTTTTAAGCTGGCGATGGTGAGAAAATTGGCAACGGTGTAAGGCGCATATTATATGGACATCTATCGATCATTTGGCCGGAGAGGAGATTTGTATGTATATATATATATATCTTACCATAGAATAGAACTAATCTGCTGTCTGTTTGGAGAATACATAATCTATTATATGTCTTCCACTTCTAAAGGGAATTGAGCCAAATCTTGCATAGAGACCTCATTCATCCAACCACCACCGGAAAATCCACCTGATTGAATTAATTAACACGAGGGGTCAGAATTAACAAAAATCAATAATTAAGGAATAAATATATAAAGACCAGATATTAAGCTAGGAAGACAAACTTTGTATTAATGAATTATACTAATTTCTTTCAAAAGGCTGAACCCCAACCCTAAGGTCTCCCCACATCCCGACCCGACAGATCATTTGGGAGGATGTAAATCATGGTAATTCAACTGAACATGAACCACAGAGGCTAGACCGTGCTCACTGCGCACAAAGAACCCCCTCACTTTGAGAGGTTGCTCCCACACTGCCGCTGGTGAGACTCGATCCCTGGACAAACTTTGTATTAATGAATTATACTAATTTGACCTCGTAACCGCCCACGAAAAAAAAAAAGTGGACAATTACACCCTTTTGACCACATCCATGTGCTCCACCTGGCCTATTGGCCGGGCCTTGACTAGCCGAGGCCGAGCTCTGAGCTCAGCTTTGGCTGTCGAGGCCGAGCTCTGAGCTCAGCTTTGGCTGTCGAGACCGAGCGCTGGGCTCGGCCTTTGGCTGCCGTGGCCAAGCGTTGGGCTCGGCCTTGGCCGCCTAAGGCCACGGGGAAGTCAAGCTTGTCTTGATCCGCCTCATCAGGTTAATTTACTTTGGACCCGTCTCTAATATATCTATCACCACCATCTAATTTTCCCTTACCATTATTGCAATAATCCTTCTGCAACATAGGAGGATCTCCAATAGTCTGCATGGTGCAACAACTTCTGCGGCGGTTGCTAGAGCTACTACCTCTACTTCCTCCATCCACTGCAGGTTTCCCAGTAAGCCTTTGAACAATCTCACAGAAATCATGGACGCTGGTCTTTATCACTTCCGGCGGAATCAAATGAACGATTCGTATCTTCGGCTTCGCCTGCACCTTGGTGGTTGCATGTGGCCAGCCCTTGTGCATGGATACCTCAGAAGATGAAGATGAAGAAGCAGCTTTTTGCGACGACGGCCTCATTTTTTTGTGACGACTGATCGAAATTAATTATCAATGAGACATACACAGGAAACACACATATATGAATTAATGGCTCAATTATGAACCTATGGTATATGTATGAATGTTTTCTGTTTGCCTGAAATTTTGCATTCGATGAAGGCTTTATATGTGTGTAATATGTATGATGTATCTGTGACGACTGTGTAAACATAAAAATTTTTACTTGTTCAAAGCAGTGTTTTCTTGTCTTATTATTGTGTAGTATATAATATAAATTCACACGAATTGAAGATCGACATAATTGATATTTGTCTCACTAGTTGAAGATGTAACGGAATTAAAGAAAAGTTGATAAGATTGACTGAAATGTAGTTGGTCATAAAATAATGTGTGACGACACATTTAATTACTACGTACAATAATGTGTTTACACAGGCTAGGGAAAAGTCAATAGTCGTATTCTGTATTTGGTCAGTACGTGTTTGAGAATGCGTGGACTTAAAGTTGGGACCAATGAAGGCCAAACATTTAATTTATCTTCTGCCCGATCCACACTTGGAGTTGTTGAGTATAAACAATTTTGGACTTTGTTCACACTTTATGCCTTCATGCGCTCCCGACCACTTCTAACATTGTTAGAATAATATACAATTATTTATATACTTCAAAAAAAAAAGTCGAATAAATAGTGTAATTGTACGGTTAACTGAAATCAACTCCATCCATGCCTTTACTAATTTTATAAAAAATGATTTTTTTTTTTTTTTTTTTTTTTGGTGACGAGAGAAACTCGCAACTACTATTTGAGAATGAACACGGATACAATTCAACAAGTTTGATTGAAAGGGTGTTGACAATTATCAACCTCATGACCTTTAGGTATAATAATCGTATTTCATCAACTTGGTCGATCACCTCTTCGATGATTGTTGAATTTTAGCAGGGGTAACTCTAATATCAAGATCAATACTTAATCAATTTGTTAATAACTAACAAACACTATACACAATAGAGTTAAAGAGAAGTAGTTAATGAACTAGTTCAGCCAGTAGTTCATAGACGAATTCACACACACAGATAGAAAATAGCATACGCAATCAAGAAAAACACACAAGAACACAGTAACTAATTTGTTAACCTAGTTCAGAATAATCATTCCTACATTTTGGAGCACCATAGAAATGGTAGCCCAGGCCAATTCTTCATTCATAATCAACATCAAAGTTTTACCAAACACAATGATTAATGCAAAGCACTCTCCTTGGCTACTCCATAGCCTTTTAAAAACGAAGAAACTTCTTGAAGAATTGGTGAAGGCCAGATCTACCGATCTTGCAAGTTGAGTCTCCCCTCAACTGCAGATCTCCCGAGTTGTATTCTTGTGGTAACAGCCCGAAATCATCAAAGATCAAATCCAACTTGATATGAATGTAAAATCGTCAAGTTGCTCCGTTAAGCCCCTTGAAACAACCCTTTTATTTTCTGAAATTTTTATAGAGTAATTCTTGAATCGTCAGCACTGTTGGAAGATTGTCAAGGCTTTTATATTCATCTTTCGGATTATTCTGTAACAAAATAATTTCTTGAAATATCTTATGAACTTGTCTTGATAATTTGTTTAGGCCTTGGTCTTCAGTCTTCAATGTGTGTCAGTATCATATCTCTAACTAAGTCTAAGTACAAGTACAAACTCAATCAATCTTAATACAAATACAGAGATGTATATATCCTGAATTAAATCTTGAACAAGTGTATTGTTCCATATATAAATCATAACTTAATGGAGGATATTTTCTTTTGTAAATTCTTTTTCTCAAGGATCTGTTTTATTAACAATTGTTTAGTAGGTTACTGTTGAATTAAAAATGGTTAAATTTCCATATATACTTTTATTCAAATGCAATGGTGACTTGACCTGCCATTAAGATGAATCTTAAAATCGTTAGAGGTTTATATTTGGACTTAAGACGAGGGAGATCATATAGCTTAGAGTCCAGATAATAGCCATGGTTATCTTGGAGTACTGGAGTACAGTGCCAAACATAGACAACTATGGCTATTTTTGTCCGATGTTTCAATTTATTTATTTACTTTTAAAAATTAAAAATATTATAAATAATTTTTTTAATTTATTTTAATGCTCCAAATCACCACCATGTACATTTGAATTAAAGTACACATAAAATCAGCGATAACATGTTTAATATGTAAGATTATGACTCAATGGCACATTTATTTTTATTTTTACTTTTTGCAAATATGAAGGGTTTGGACGGGGCTTTGTTTTATTTTTTATTTTCACTTAGGGACTTAATTATAATATTTGCTTGATTTAGGGAGTTTATTTGATTCATTTTAATATTTTATTAAGATAGTCTATACGTTTTAGAGTTCTTGTTTATGTTGTAGCAGGTAACGTAACTGAAATTATGGATTTATGGTTAGACTAAGACTGGATCGGATCTAACCTTCTCTTCTGCCTCACGGAATTTTCACCAATACCTAGTTTAATTTCTGCATATTAAGAAGCAATTAAGGGATAATCAAATACAATAAAATAAGTTTATCATGCATTATGAATATCATGGATTAAGGTAAGTACACTGGGGTGTTTGGTAAATAGTTGTTAGCTGATTGAGTTAGTGATTTGACTAATTGATAACATTAATTGATTGTAGAAAAGTGTTTGGTAAATTAGCTGTTAGCTGATAACTGATTACATGCAAACTGACTTTCTCAAAAAACTGATCGAAAAAGTTATTTTGAACAATTTTTTGAATTTTAACATTTTGAAATAAGTTGTTACAAACAACTAATTAATCAAACACTCATATTGATTGTTTAACTAAGTCAAATAGCTAATAATGGTCAAATAAATCAAAATTAACTTATAGGCTAACTATCATTCTATTTAATTATTTTTGATTATTTATATGTTTCTATAATTATGTCGATCTTTCTTGAGGTGTTTGGCAAAAGTTTTCTTAGCTTTTTTTCTTGGTCCCATGAAAGAAGAGGCGAGGGATTGTAATTTGCCTCTCTTCAAATCGTCTAGAAAATTTTTGTAAATACTGTCCAATAGATCATCAAGAATAATATACTTCTCTTTGTTCACCTAATAACTTAGAACAAATAACAATTCTAAATGGTGTATTAAAAGTAAGTCCAAGTCTACAAATGATGTACGATATTTTTTTAGGTAAGTACGCGTGTTATGTCATTTTTCGGGATTGGGAGTTATGATACGTAGTATGCAATCACAAGCAATTAGACACTAGTATAATAAAATTAACAAAAAGTTAATCCATCTATAAATAAAAGTGAGCAATTAAGACTAAACAAAATAAGACTAACACATATACACAAAAGATAAACATGAAATAAGGAAATATGACTTAATGTAGGGAGCATTATCTCCTAGATGCATAACACAACCTAAGGATTAAAGGAAAATAGCACAACTAAGGAACCAAGGGGATGCACTTAGAAATCCTAGTCTATACGCAACTCTCGTGATCAATAAATTAAATAAGGATTAAAACAAGGAATTGCACTGCTCTCGTAATGTACCAACTCCAAGTTCTTCAAGCACACATAGAATCAAAACTCTCAATTTCCCCTATTTTCATATAAATAAATAGGGTTTATGCATGGAGTGACTTGGAATTTTGACTCAACTCTTGTTGTAGATAAAATTCCTCCACAAGTTTGCTAATGAATGTTCTACAACAGGATACAAATACAAATCGTTCATAAACTCAAGAACCTTGGATAGACAAAAAATCCCCTTTATGCAATAATCAAGAATATATATGACATCTAGATGGATAATACAACCTAACTCAAGTCCATAAACTAAATTTCCACACATATTAAGTAAAAACACAAGTATAAATTAAAGCATAAACATTGCAAATGAAGAGATCGATGATAGGGAAATGGACCTTATTAATTGAAATGATGAAATTCAAGCTTCAGATCCTTGATCACAAGCCTCCGAAATGTTAAAATATCTAAATCTAAGTATAATCTAACTTAAAAATATGAAAAGAAAGGTGAAAAATAACTAAGGTTTGAGTATGAGTCGAAACCGTGTATAAAATGTTCAAAATAGGCATAATTACAAACACAGCAAGGTAGGCATGCATGGGTATGGGCACGGCCAAGGAAGAACCCATGCCTGGAAAAGAATGCACACTCGAATGTGTCATGGGCAATTGGGCATAAGCACGATCGCGGCTAATCCTATGCCTACTAGTAGAGAGAATTTCTACGCAACTTATTTGACTTGTAGGAATTTTTTCACCAATGAAACCTTTGAATTTGCCTTTGTAGCCTACAGAAAAGTTGTAGGACTTTGAGTTGGTTTATCAATGACTCAAGAATCACTTGATTTGGACATTCCCAAACAGAGATATGGTTGAAATACTGAGCAGTGGTCTTGTTGTGTGAGAATTTCAAATCTTTGATATTTTGCTCAATTTTTGCCTTGGTTTACTGATGTTATCAAAAATATTGAAAGCATCACTCTTTGGCTCTCCAAGAGGTGTTGTCTCCATTGCCATAGCTTCAGATTAGCTCCCATTGAATCTACATGCATCTAAAATGCTCCAAAAATCATTCAATTCATCTAAATCATCAAGAATTACACCTAAACACATTAGCTAACAATCAATGACTCAAGAATCACTTGATTTGGACATTCCCAAGCTGAGATATGGTTGAAATACAGAGCAGTGGTCTTGTTGTGTGAGAATTTCAAATCTTTGATATTTTGCTCAATTTTTGCCTTGGTTTGCCAATGTTATCAAAACTATTGAAAGCATCACTCTTTGCCTCTCCAAGAGGTGTTGTCTCCATTGCCATAGCTTCACATTAGCTCCCATTGAATCTAAATGCTCAAAAAATAATTCAATTCATCTAAATCATCAAGAATTACACCTAAACACAGGGGCAGAGCCAGAAAATTCATGTAAGGTGGATGGGGATTAGATTATCAGAAGTAACATAACAGAAGGTCTGTACAATAGAGATATAGAAGTAAGAGGAAGAGTCCTAGTAGACTACAACTAGCAGTCCTAACACTCCCCCTCAAGCTTAAGGTGGACTAGCTGCAACATTAAGCT